ATTGGGCTGTGAACCTCAACATCAGCAGTTTGAAACTACCAGCTGTTCCGTGGGAGAAGGATGAGGCTTTCTGCTCTCGTAAAGATTTACAGCCTTGGAAACCCTGTACTCTGTACAGGGTCGCTATGAGTCGGAACCAACTCCATGGCACATAACCAACCAACTAACTATTTTGCAGTGTCATTGTTGCAGTTTGTTTTTTTCTTTAATCTCTCTTATTAGCCTTTACACTTATTAATAGTAAAGACTGTGTTTAATTTCTGTATGTTTTAGCACTTAATTAAGTAACTAAGGAGCTCTGGTAGCGTAGTGGTTACGAATCGGGCTGCGAACCTTAAGGTTGGCGGTTCGAAACTACCAGTCGCTCCGCGGGAGAAAGATGAGGCTTTCTACTCCCGTAAAGATTTACACCCTTGGAAACCCTGTACAGGGTCGCTATGGGTCGGAACCGACTCGACGGCACTTAACAACAACAACAACAACAACAACATTCAATGAACACTCACGGACTAGAAGACTAGATGGGTAAATATATATATGTAAAGGTCTGACTGGATGGCTGGGTAGATTGTTGTGATTGTTAGGTGCCATCGAGTTGATACCAATTCATAGCGACCTTATGCACAACAGAATGAAACATTGCATGGTGGTGGACCCACCTCACAATCATTGAGGTTGCCACTGTGCCAATCAGTCTTGTTGGGGGTCATTTTCTCTTTTGTTGACCGTCCATTTTACCAAACATGATATCTTTCTCCAGGGACTGGTACCTCCTGACAATATGTCTGAAGTATGAGAGACAAAGTCTTGCCATTCTGGCTCCCAGAGAGCATTCTGGCTAGACTTATTCTTTTGGCATGCAATGGTATTTTTAATATTCTCCTCCACACCATAGTTCAAATGCATCATTTCTTCTAGGGTCTTCCTTATTTACTGTCAAACTTTCACATGCATATGCAGTTATTTAAAATACCATGGCTTGGGTCAGGCGTACCTTAGTTCTCAAACTGCCATCTTTGTTCTTGAACATTAAAGAGTTCTTGTATAGCAGATTTGCTTAATGCATTTGATTTCTTGAGTGTTGCTTCTATGAGTGTTTGTTGATCTGAGCAAAATTTCACTCTTCTACATTTAGATGGATGTTATTTGTTGGTCCAGTGGTGAATATTTTTGTTTTCTTTACGGTGAGGTGCAACCCATACAGTAGGTTGTGGTCTTTGATCTTCATCAATACATATTTTAAGTCCTCTTCGCTTTCAGCAAGAAAGTTTGTATCATCTACATATCACAGGTTGTTCATGAGTTTTCCTCCAATTCTGATGTCACGTTTATCTTCATATAATCCAGCTTCTCAGATTATTTGCTCAATATACAGATTGAATAAGTATGGTGAAAGAATATAAACCTGGCACAAAACTTTCCTAACTTTAAACCATTCAGTGTTCCCTTGTTCTGTTTGAACAGCTGCCTCTTGGTATATGTATAGGTTCCTCATGAGAATAATTAAGAGTTCCGGAATACTCACACTCCACAATGTTGTCCATAGCTTGTCATGATCCACACAATTGAAAGCCTTTGCATAGTCGATAAAGCATAGGTAAACATCTTTCTGGTATTCTCTGTTTTCAGTCTAGAGCCATCTGACATCAGCGTTGATATTCCTCGTTCTACTTCATCTTCTGAATCTGGCTTGAACCTCTGGAAATTCTTTGTTAATATATAGTTGCAACCATTTTTTTAGTTATCTTTAGCAAATTATGCTTGCATGTGACATTAATGGTATTGTCTGATGATTTCCACATTCCATTGGGTCACCAGTCTTTTGAATGGGCACAAATATGGATCTCTTCCGGTCAGTTGGCCAGGTAGTTGTCTTCCTAATTTCCTAGCATAGATGAGTGAGTGCCCACAGTGCTACGTCAGTTTGATGGAAGAACTCAATTTGCATTTCATAAATTCTGAGTCTTGTTTTTTGCCATTGACTTCAGTGAACCTTGAACTTCTTCCTTCAGGATCATTGGCTCTTGACTGTATGCTAGCTCTTGAAATGGTTGAACATGGACCATTTCTTTTTGGTACAGTGGCTGTGTATTCCTTCCATCTTATTTTGATGCTTTGTGCATCATCCAATATTTTGCCCATAGAAACCTTCCATATCACATGTCAAGGCTTGAATTTTTCTTCAGTTCTCTCAGCCTGAGGTACACTAAGCATGTACTGCCTTTTGGTTTTCTAACACCAGGTTTTTGCACATTACATTATAATATTTGACTTTGTCTTCTTGAGCTGCCTTTTGAAATGTTCTATTCAGCTCTTAACCCTCTCATTTTTTTCCATTTCGTAGCATCTCTATACTGGAAAGCAAGTTTCAGAGTCTCTTCTGACATCTATTTTGCTCTTTTCCTTCTTTCATGTCTTCTTAATGACCTTTTGTTTTTGTCCTTCATAATGTTCTTGATGTCATCCCACAACTTCCTTGGTCTTCAGTCTTTAGTGTCTAATGCATGAAATCTGTTCTTGAGACGATCTCTAAATTCAGGTGGGATATGCTCCAATCATATTTTGGCTCTTGTGTACTTGTCTTCATTTTCTTCACCTTCAACCTGAATTTTCATATAAGCAGTTCATAGTCTGTTCCACAGTTTGCCTCTGGCTTTGTTTTGACTATCAGTTTCAACAAATATAGTCAATTTGATTTCCATGTATTCCATCTGGTGATATCCATGTATGTAGTTGTCTTTTATGTTGTTTAAAAAAGGTATTTGCAATCAAGAAGTCTTTGGTTTTGCAAAATTGTATCATGAAATCTCCCGCATCATTTCAATCACCAAGGCCATATTTTCCAAATACTGATCCTTCCTCTTTGTTTCTACTCTTCAATCACCAGTAATTTTCTATAAATCTTAATTGCATGTTTAATCAATTTCTGACTTCAGAAGATAGTAGAAATTTTTTATTTCATCATCACTGGTTTTAGTGGTTGGTGCGTACATTTGAATAATAGTGAGCTATGGTGTTGGAGGAGAATATCAAAAGTACCAATGACAACCAAAGCACAAACTAATCTGTATTGGAAAAAGTACAGCAAGAATACTTCTTGGAAACCAGGATGGCCAGATTTCATTACTCATACTTCAGACATATTATCAGGAGGGACTAGACCCTGGAAAAGGACATCATGCTTGTTAATGTGTAGAGTCAGAAAAAGTGGAAGACCCTTAACAAGACAGATTGGTACAGTGGCAGGAGCAATGGGCTTAAGTGTAGCAGTGAAATTGGCACTGGATCAGGCAGTGTTTTTTTCTGTTGCTCATAGGGCCACTATGAATTTGTTCTGATTCAGTGGAACCTAACAAACAACAACAATCTGACATATCTACATATGCATTCTCCAACCATTTCTAACCAAGCACTACATGTTCCAAACATGCTAAAATCTTTGGAATTCCAAAAATACATTCATTCATTCAATCATTTCATATCACTTTAAAATCTGTTTTATTGTTACTGTAGTGTTTTTATCTATCATCTCAGTGTGGCAGATGACATACATATATTAATTCAACTAACATCCTAACTACTGTTTTCATTTTCTTAAAATGTAATATGGTGGTGGTGGTGGTCGTCATGTGTCATGGAGTTGGTTCCAACTCATAGTGACCCTGTACAGGGTTTCCGAGGCTGTAAATCTTTACAGGAGCAGAAAGCCTCATCTTTCTCCTGCAAAACAGCTAGTAGTTTCTAACTGCTGACTTTGTGGTTCGCAGCCCAGTATCATAACCCCTACGCTACCAGAGCTCCTTAGAAATGTAATCTGGGGTAGAGATTAAATAATCCATTTGACAGTTCTTATGGGTGAATAAATTTCCTAGCAAAAACAACATGGGAAGTTGGGTCTTAGTGCCTTTTTAAATCTTGAAAAGTCTCATTCCTAGAATAAGTCATGTAGGAGGCACTCTCATCTATAAAACTAGCTATCTCACTGAAGCCCATGTGTGCCAATCGGGTACTCCACAGGGTTTTTCAGTGATGGATTTTTAAGTATTTTATAGTCTGACCTTGCATCTGAGACAGCTCTGAATGAACTTAAATCTCCAAACTTTGTTAGCAGCTGAGTGTGTTGACCATTTGTGCCTTTCAGGAAGTCCATTTCACCTATACATTTTTCTTGAAAGCTGTAGGAACTTTATGAATCCAATTAAAATTCTCTGTGCAGTGAAACCCACACTCTGTCTGAAGCATACTTTATATTCCAGACTTAATCATTACTACTTTGAATGTGTCAGGTTGCTTGCTTGGAGATAACACAATTAAGACTTGTAGAATCCTTTCTGCTTAGCTGAGAGAATCTGTTCTTGTTGTTGTTAAGTGCCATTGAATCGATTCCAACTCATAGCGACCCTGGATAGGGTTTCCAAAGCAGCCAGGGGGTTTGAACTGAAGACCTTCTCTCAGGTCCCCTTGAATTCTGTAAGAGTCCCTGGATGGTACCAATGTTTAACATGTTTGACTGCTAACCAAAGGGTTAGAGATGCCTTGAATAAAATGGTTAGGTGATGTATTTCCCCAGAAAATTAACCATAGAAAAACTTATGGAGAACAGTTCTACTCTGACACACACTCACTATGAGGTAAAGTCAACTTCATGGCATATTGTTTTGCATGATTTCAAGAGTAATTCCTGAATTCCCAGCTATCTAAGTTAATTTTGCTTAACAAATTAGACAACATTTTATTCTTATATAATAAAGAAATCCAAAATTGTATTAATCCTTTAAAAATCCTTTGCATCTAGTTTAATTTTTACCATGTTATATACCATCTCTTTTAAAAACATATGGTTTCAAATGGATTCTGAATTTTTATCTTAGTAGAGCAGTTATTTATGTTTGCCTGAGGAAGCTTTGTGGGTATAAGCAACAGTAGGACCAAGATCAAATATATATAGTTTTTAATTTAGGAAATTAAACTAAATCTGTGTTTCTTTAACCCTTAGGTGATATATGTGTTCCCAATCCATGTGAAAATGGAGGTATCTGTGTGTCAGGATCGGCTGATGATTCATTTTCCTGTGAGTGTCCAGATGGCTTCACAGATCCCAACTGTTCTAGTATTGTGGAGGTTGGTAAGTGCAAGATTTAAAATTTTCAATAGTTATCCTTTTTTGTTTTCATGACTGACTGACAGATTTGCTAGTGGTCCATTCTGGGTGATACATGTAACATTACTATGTTTATAACTAGCTTCTATATCATTTTTTGGTTGCTGTTAAGTATCCTCCAGTCAGTTCTGACTCATAGCCACCTGCTGTAGGGTTTCCAAGGATTGGCTAGTAGGTTTGAATCAACAATCTTGTGGTTAGCAGCTCAGTACTTACCATAAAGCATAACATCAGGACTATTAATATTTATCATGGTGCAGCTGTAGGATAAGCACTGGATTGCTAACTATACCACCAGCAGTTCAAACGTACCAGCTGTTCTGTGGACACAAGATGAAGCAGTCTGCTTCCATAAAGATTTATGGTATCAGAAACCTTATGCATTGTTACTCTGAGTTGGAACCAGCTTGATGAGTTTTGAGTGATGGGTTTCAACTGCTGACCTTGTGGTCCAGCACATTATCCTGCAATACCACACCTGGAGTCCTGGTGTGGCGCTGTGGGTTAATGCGCCAGATTGCAAAGCCATTTGAACTGCAAGGTCAGTGGTTCAAGCTCACCAGTTGCTCCTCGAAAACCCTACTAAGCTGTGGGTTAAAGCCAAATCCTCAGCACTTAACAACAACAACCACAAGTGGACTTCACCTTAAATAGTCACTGTATATAAAATAGGATTTATTTTAATGACTGCCAGTGTGATACTGGTAGGATAAGCACTGAACTGATAAGCAAAAGGTTCATGGTTCAAACCCACTAATGCTCAATAGCACTTAACAACAATAATATCCATCAACGTGTAATGGATATTAACAAAGCAAAATCACATTGCTTTTTTGAGAATACAAATATATGAAAAAGGACAGCATTCCAACAGCAGTGATCTTTGAAGTCTTTTAAAAATCTTTGCTTTGCAAAAATTAATTACAATTGATAATCATGTTGAAAATGTTTTTTCCTCTGTAAAGTACTTCATTGGCATGCATGCTTATGGATTCAGGATAACTTCTGTAATTTTCAAATAACTTCCATTAAGGAAAAAGCTGTTCTTTAAAATAATGTTACATAGTGTAAATTTTTACAGAAAATTTTTCTCTGATTAAAGGTAATTCTATGATTAAGTTTGAAAAAAATGTCTATATTTTCTACTTCAGTATCAAGAAGTGAACAAAATGGATTGCATGCTCATCACAAGCAAACCAAATACAGTTTGGATTACATTTCTGCCAGCCAGCTTACCCAGTGGAAAATTAGAAATTCTCAAGGGCTTTGAAAAAATAATTTTGAGAAAGAAAAATAACAGTGGAGGAATTAATTCGAGTTACCTATGATTTAGAGTTCTGGTATGGCATTGTAGGATAAAGCACTGAACCAAAAGGTCAGTTTGAACCACAAGGTTGTTGATTTTAAACTCACCAACTGTTCCATGGAACATGGGAGCAGTGAATGTTGTAAAATTGAGAAAGGTGTGCGACAAGGGACAAGGTTGTATTCCTTCACCATATTTATTCAACCTGTATGCTGAACAAATCATCCAAGAACCTGGGTTCGGTGAAGAAACATATAGCATCAGGATTGGAGGAAGACTCATTAACAACCTGCAATATGCAGACGATACAACCTTGCTTGCTGAAAGAGAAAAGGACTTAAAACATTTACTGATGAAGATCAAAGAGCACA